GTCTCCGTACCGATAAGCGAGACTCTAATAAACCGGCCTATGTTCCGTGACTCCTATGAACCTAGAGCTTTGATACCAACTTGTCACGACCCCAGTTCACCCTCCGTGAACTATCGTGACGGCACCTAGTCTCTACGACTAGGTAAGCCTAATAAATGCGGAAAACAACTGATCTTGCGGAATAAATAATCAAAAAGCTGAAATAACTGAGAGAAATAACATTTAGATGACGCTCGGCATAAAAACACACAACTTCTAAAATTCTGATACACTATCCCAAAACCCGGAAACTCACGGATCCACAAGCTGTGATAACACTACATAGCTCTAATCTCCAGAATGTCTAACAATAACAGAAAGTACAGAAGGGCTAAGTACTAAAAGCAAGAATAGAAGAGACTCCCCGGTATGCGGACGCGGCAGATATACCTCGAAGTCCTGTAGAATCGCCTCGCCTCAAGAATGGTAAGCCTGAGTAGAGGTACCTGGATCTGCATATGAAAAACATGCGCAGGAAGGGCATGAGTGCACCACAGCGGTACTCAGTAAGTGCCAAGCCTAACCTCGGTTGGGTAGTGACGAGGAAGGTCAGGGCCCTACTAAGGTTAAATAAGATATAAGGTTTAACAGTGTGAAATAACAGTGTGAATAAATAACACAAGATATGAAGGACGGCAACAACTATTACAAGGGCAAGTAAAACACAGTAAAAGAACACAACTCAGCTCCAAGATAACAACTGGGGATCTCCCAGGATACCGTCCTGTAGTCCCCAAATATAAATATCATCTCCAGTGGATCTCCCGGGTGCAGTCCCGTAGTCCAACTCATAAATGTGCAAATGGATCTCCCAGAATGCAATTCCGTAGTCCCAAAGTAAACATATAGTGGAGCTCCCGGATACCGTCCCGTAGTCCCAAAGTAAAAGTGCAGGGGGATCTCCCGGAATACCATTCCGTAGTCCCAAAGTAAACATGCAGGGGAGCTCCCGGGATACCGTCCCGTAGTCCCAAAGTAAATACGCAGCAACAACAAGAATTCAATCCAATCAATTTCATATCAAAGTGAAGCAGGTAATCCTATCCTAGCATGGTGCACGTAATTCAATTAAGGCAGTTAAGGCAAATAGAGCAATTTAGTCAAGTAGACATGCTTCTCTAGGCTACAGTAGGTTTAATTTCCAAACAGTGTAAGTAAGAAAAGGAAGAACACAATTCAAGGCTGTTTTTAATGAAAAACCGGATTTCCAACAATTAGCACAAGTACGCGCTCGTCACCTCACGTACGAGGCATTTCAATTACCACAATATCAATCCTAAGGGGAAAAGGTCCCCCCCACAAGGTTAGACAAGCCACTTACCTCGAACAAGTGCAAGTCAACCCGAAACCACGCCTTTGCCACGAGTATCCGACTCCAAATGACCCAAATCTATTCAATTCAATTTCATAATGTAAGTAACACTTCAAATAACCGATTCTATAATTAAATTCTAAGGTAAGACGCGAAATTAGGTAAAATAACCAAAATGCCCCTCAGGCCCGCGTCTCGGAATCGGGTAAGATTTATATTTTCAGAATCCTCATACTCTCACGAGTTCAGGCATACCAAAATTATCCAAATCCAAGGTCAAATTCCCAATCAAAAGTCAAATTTTAGGTCTAGGAACTTTCTTCCAACTTTTCCCCAATTTTAATCCCCAATCCGAATTTAAATGATGAAATTAACTAAAGATAGATGGAATATAACTAGAAAGGGTTAAAGAATCGTTACCCAAAGATCTCCTCTTCAAATCCCTCTCAAAATCGCCCTCTCCCGAGCTCCAATTCGATTTTTCAACTTTTAAAACCAAACACTCAAAATTTCATATTTTTGCCCAGCTATTTCCGCATCTGCGGACCAAAATGTCGCATCTGCGACTTTCATTAAAAAGCCTAGGAGCCGCATCTGCGGTACTTCTTTCGCAGATGCGAAACCGCTTTTGCGGTGAGACTTCCGCATCTGCGGAACCTGAAGGAACACCAAAAATCCGCATCTGCGCTTGCCTTGCCGCTTTTGCGGCCCCGCACCTGCGGAACCCAAACCGCAGGTGCGGTTATGACAGACACCAGCAATTTTTCTAAAATCTCTAACTTCAAAAATCTTTCCGAATTCATCCCGAGGCCCCCGGGACCTCAACCAAAAGCACCAATAACACCTAATACCTCATTCAAACTTTTACCAATCCTTAAACCACCTAAAACAACATCGGGAACTCGAATTAATCAAGGATTTAAGCCTAAGAACTCTAAATTTTCCAAAAATACGCTTTCGATCAAAAACCTAACCAAACCATTTTCGAATAACCTGAGGTTTTGCACACACATCCCAAATGACATGCTGTAACTCTCGGAATTCCATTCCGACCCTCGGATCAAAATCTCACTATCAAACCGGAAACTTCAAAATTCGACCTTTCGGCATTTCAAGCCTAAATTAGCTACGGACCTCCAAAACACAATCCGACCATGCCCCTAAACCCGAAATCACCTAACGGAGCTAACATAACCATCAGATTTCCATTCCGAGGCCGTCTTCACTCTGGTCCGGCGACGGACAACTTTCCAACACTTAAGCTCTCATTTAGGGACTAAGTGTCCCAAAACTCTCCGAAACTCAAAATCGAACATCCCGGCAATTCAGAATAGTAGAAATAAACTTGGGGAAAGCAGTTAATAGGGGATCGGGGCGTAAATTCCAAAAATGACTGGCCGGTCGTTACAGTTAATGTTGGAATTTTGGTTTATAGAGACAATCTGGGCCTCATTGATAGAGTGGGTAGTGGTTTGAGATGTATGTTTAAATAGGGTGGTAATTATTGAGTCTATTTGCATGCCTTGATTGCTTGAGGGGGAAGATATTTTATCCGGATTTGGGGTGTTCATAGGGTTAGGCACGTGTTTTACTTCATTGGCCATTTGTGCATTTAATGGAAGGTTATGGGACAGGTGTTGTGGGTCCAAATCTTCATCCATGCAAGTAGTAATATTTTCTAGAAGGGTATTAGAGTTGTTTACTTTAGTGGTTAAAACCACTGCCTCACACTGAAGATGGGAATTAGGGTGAGAGTTAGAATTGTTAATAATGTTATTAGGAACGTTAGTTGAGTGCATGAGATTTAATCTTGCCTCTGTAGAGGAAGGCACGTAGTCTTGGTTAGTTTCAAAGTTGCCGCATCCTTAGATTTGTCTTCTAAGAGTTTTTTTGAGTTTTTAGTTTCTTTTTATCTATTTCTATGGGCGGATTCTCCAAATCCAAAAATCTATTTTCTCTGGTAACGTGACTAACTGAAGAAGAAGCCTGATCATTAGAGGGGATCTTTGTCTTAAAAGATTTTTGATTGCTATTAGGATTATAGTTAGCATTAGTGAGTTGAGAACGAACAAACGTACCTGGAACTTCATGTGGTGTAGAATTAACTATACCTGGCATAGGGCCTGCCACATTCTTTCTCCCATTGGCTTTTTTTTTTCCTTGTAAAACTGACCGTCTGCCATACTGCTTCATTCATTTCTTGGGTATCAATGCTGGCACTGGATTGGGGAGATGAATGGTTTAGCAGTGTTGGTGTCCTGACAGGCATGGGTTTGATATATAGGCATTTCATTGATATGTGACCTAACCTCCCACAAGCTTTGCAGAAGAAGTTCTCACCCTCGTACTGGATATTTTGCTTATGATTTTCAATGTGAATAAAGGGAATAACTGGTTCCTCAATTGGTAGTTCGATACATAATCTTGCATAACGGCCCCGTAAGGTTGAAGATGTACATGCATCTCTTTTTAATAATCTCCCAATGGTGTTGCCTATTTTCTTTAAAATGATACTATCATAGAACTCGGTTGGTAATTGTGGTAAACGAACCCAAACAGATGTAAGAGTATTGTTTGCTTCTGTTGCTACAAATTTTGGTTTCCATCTTTGGACTGAGAGGAAATGTCCAAAAATGAACCACGGACCATAGTGAAGGACCTTAAACATGTGTTCCTCACAATTAAATTTAGTGATGTAATAGTCCGCCCCTAGATCGATTAAGGGAAAATTTTCATGGATTTTCCATATTTCTTGAATTTTTCTTTTTAGAAGGTTATGCTGGATTCTTTTGCCATAAAGCTTAATAATGACTGAGAATCTCCACGATTGATAGATACGGTTTTGTTCTTCTAAAGAGAGGTGAGTTTGGTGTCCCTCTATAGGAATGAAGATTGTTGGTGGCTGACTTGATCCTTGTGCTAATAATGGATGATTGTCAAGAGTGGGGTTAGAACATTGATTAAGGAATCATGCTCACCTGCTACTAATTTATCTTTGAAACTTGAACCAAGATTAATAGACATAGAATACAATGAGTGGATTTAGGGTCTATGTGAGGTGGTTCGGGAGGGATTTGGTTTGATTAGCTTAAAATTGCATGGCCACTGACCAGGTTGGGCAGTTGAAGAATGAAATATTTTCTATTAGTGAGAGGTTGGAGAGAATTTCTAGAGAGCGATAGTGAGGAAAGAGACGACGTACAAAAGGTTAACAAATCAAACACAGCTGCTCATACTTCAATTCACCGATAAAATGCGCCCATTAAGCAACATCAACAGTAAAGAGTGTATCACACATTGCGAATTATAGCAACTGATTTAAACTATAGATTTAAGTCAAAAATGCAAAACAACCCTCAAGATACTTTATTCTTAGAAACTCTAGATTTCTTTTTTAAATACAGTACCGACATATTCAGTCAGGATTCTTCTCTTCACACTCCTGCCTTTCTTAGAAACACCAACAATATCACGTCAGTTTTCCGGCAAAAGTTTGTATTTTTTTTATTTCAATTTAAAGGTGTTAATCCATTTTACTAAATTAATTAGAGGATTAGCTGAGTCCCGAGCTACAACACTACGTACATCATTATCCAAATATTACCCCAAATTGCAACTTTATAGAACTCGAAGCAAACAAGTGGCAGTCTCAAGTTCTCAACAAATAACAACTTAATTTCTCAACAAATAACAACTTAATTAAAAGTCGTAGTAAACATTACAGAATAAGAATACGCAAAATTCATCGATGTCACTAGAATATCGATACAATCAAGAATGGAAAAGATAATGAGAAATTACAAAATAAAAACTCCCTAAGAATTTATTGGTGTCTCTAAGAATGATCCAAGCTGTAGTATCTACCAAGAATTCAAAGTGGTCAATTCCAAGAATTGTTGGCCAATCAGAAAATAGCTGTGAAAAACATAATTATTCCAAAGCCAAGAACGATGTTCATCTTGGAGAATGCCATGGTTTGAGCTGCATTTTTATCTTTGTTATCAGATGTAGGGCTTGAGGCAAATCCTCCTGAGTTAAGAGATAAAGGGTTAGAAAATTGATATTCTTATACTGTCGGTGCATTTTAACTTGTTGTAATAAAAAATCTGTATTATTTTTAGGTTATTAATCTCACTTTGTTGTAATAAGAAATTGTTGTCCAATCAGTAAATAATTACGAAAGAAGTGAATTAACAGTACTGTAAAAATATGCAAGACACAATATCATTTTCGTTTACATATTTTAAAATGATTATTTTAAAGCAATCTTTCTGTGGCGGTTGAAATACTTTTTAGAGAAAAAGGTAAACATTAAATTGTTCAAGTACAAATAAATAACTTTACCAGGTGAAAGAGCAGGAGTTAATTCATCACTTGCTGTTGGAGCTGCAACTGGGATACCTAAAGCTGAAAATCAAATTATTAAAACTAATCCGTCAGACCCAACGTCCAAGTCGGAGCAAATTCTTTTTTTCGCTTGAGATTCAAGATATATATATATATATATAGAGACCAAAAATTATAAGTTTATAGAATATAAGTTTTCTTTCTTATGCAGTTTGCAGACAGGGCGGAGCTACAATAGTGAGTGCGGGTTCGAGCGAACCCACTGACTTTTTGAACCATGTATTTGTATTGAAAAATTTACAGCTTAAATAAAAATATGTCACACTAAACCCAGTAACAAAAGGCATTCAGTAGTAAGGGCTGTGGGTTCTCATGGAAAGCAGCAGGTTCGAGTCCCCTAGAATGTAATGCATTTTTTGGTGTTTTTTACCCCGTTTTCTTCTATTTTTTGTCAAAAAAAAAGCACAAATAATTATAAAATAGAACGAAACGTCAAAGCTCTAAACAAAGGAGCCTAGCTACTGGTTTCCTCGCAAAATCAGAATTATACTTTTCCATTTTTATAAACAAACGCTCCCCTAAAATACTAAAACAAAGAATATGCATCTTCACAATTATGCACCCAAATCAAAATAAAAAAATAAAAAAAATGAGGGTTTGTTGTTTAGTACTCACATACTTCAAATACCGCCTCTGTTTGCAGAAACTAGAGAACAGTAATCACATCCTAATTACTAAAAAGAAAACAAAAATTAAGTATAAAAAGTAGTACTATATTGTTTCGGTTTAATATCTTTGAATTCTCACTGTATGGGGGTTATAAATGAGAATGTTTTGGTGAATGTCTCAATCGACCCATAAAACTAATATTACATTGCTATTTAATAATATTATCTACAAGAGTTATCACATAAGAGCATAATAATAAAGTAATTATGTTGCAGGTTTTCATTTATTTATGTGTTACATGGTTAATACTACTATTTAATCGTGATTGATGTAACTTATTACCTACGGATAGACCTCGCATTGCATTCTTAAAGAAAATTAAGATAGGAGAAAAAATAGAAATGGTGCATTTATGATGAGCCTCCCAAATCTGGCTGGAAGTTGTGAACCAGCGGACTATTAATGAAGACCATCAATTGGGCCACATGCTCCCCGTTCGCAATGCACTAAGAGGTCGTTTGGTAGCTGGTTAGAAGAAATGTTATTCATGTATAAGGAGTAACATAACTTATACCATGTTTGGTAAGCAATAATTATTTTGTATAAAATTCTGCATAACTAATACCATGTTTGGTTGACATTTTTCAATTATGCATAAATAATACATGTATAAGTTATGAGTCAATCTGTGTATTATTTTATGCGGGGTAGAAGATGGAATAACTAATACATGTATTAGTAATACATGGATAAAATACTGAAATGACAAATTTACCACTATCACTTTACACATAAGGCTTCCTTATTTCTCTGCCAACCCGTCAACAGGTTTCACTTGCTTTCACTTGCCAACTATATACCTTGTCTTCTCTCATTTTTAAAGAACAAACTAGCAAAAGCAAACTGGAGAAGCCACTAGAAAATGGAAATACCAAAACTAAGAAGTGAAAATCAAATATGTCTAAACTTCACATAGTTCAGTAGTATGACGAAGAAGTGAAAGTAACACCCAAAGTTCCTAACTAAATTGTTTCCTACATAAATGGAAAGAGAGAAAAAACAATGCAAAAGAAGGCCAGGGGTATAGTTGTAAACAAGTATTTTACTTTAAAATTTATATAATGTATATCAATTTCTAATACAACAAACCAAACATTCAAAGAAATAATCTCTGCATAACTAATACCTGCATAACTAATCCCTGCATTACTTATCCCTGCATAACTAATCCCTGCATAACTAATACATGTATAACTAATACCTGCATAACTCTAACCTGCAAGCATTAGCTCTATGCATTACTAATACCTTATTTGGTCAATTTTGTTAACATGTGTATAACTAATACTTGCATTAGTTATACATCATACTTGGTATTATCCTATGCATAAGTAATGCATAGAAAATCATGGCATTAGTAATACCAAGGCTATTAATGCATACATTAGTATGGTTAAAGACAAAATTGTCCTTAAAGTCCCTTAAAAGCTAGTAGAGAATATGGAGAGCATTTTTGTAAACAACTATTTTTCTTAAAAAATATACAACGCATTATAATTTTAATACACCACACTAAACAGTAGATAAGAAGTAATATCTGCATAACTAATGCTTGCATTACTAACCCATGCACTACTAAACCATGCATTACTAATACACCTTATTCCGCACTATTTCTATTTACCCTACCAAAGGACCCCTAAGTTTGTTCAGTATACGGTTTCTTGACAACAATTTTAAACAAGGAACTATATCTCAAATTTACCTTTACTATGCATAACTGATCTTAAAACTGGTGCAATAAACAAGAGTATAGTTAGTATTAGAGAAAAGAGAAGGGATACCTGCGCAAGTGCTAACTGGTGGAGTTTCTACACTGCAGATATTAGGAAGTTTAAGAGCCCTACTAATATCAATCTGGACACCAAGTTTATCAGGATCACCAAGCAATTGGCACAAGCAAATTGGGTTACTATCCACTAATCCAGCAAGTTCAGGGCAACACTCTTTATCTGGCTTAGTCAAGTTGCTTCCTTGTTCTACAAATGTTAAGCAACTTGACATATTCACCAACACTGACAAGCAATCCAACCCGGGGCTCGGAGCGGCCGGGGCCATCGCCATCGATGGCCCTGAAGCCGCCCCCATCGGTGATATTTGTGCCTCGCCGGATGAAATTAGAATTGAAAATAGGAGAAATGTGGTGGCAATGGCGCCTGTAATTTTGGTTGTTGAGGCCATTGATTTTGGTGGTGTTAGAAATATGTGAGCAATGAAGTATAAGCAGTGTCTGAGATATAAAGAAGTAGTAGTACTAATTATTGAGGTGTCTTGAATAGGGAAATGTGATAGCTAACTTTTAGGTAGCCCAAAATTAAATTTTCCAACACCTACTACCAGACTATATATGTTTTAATATTCTGCATTTATTCTTTCCTTTTTCTTTTTCTTTTCACATTCTCTATACAGTTTATGGCACTCTGGAAAATATATATGAAAAATATGGTCCACCTCCAGTGATAAATCAATGAAGTGTTCTCATGGTAAAGGGCAATTGCTCTTCCTTCTAATGGACGGTCAAATCACACATTGATGTGGGTGAATGAGTTGAGTGCTAGACGCCGCGCGCACAAGGAAATTAAAACTTGTATCACGTACCCTTCTACGTTTTTATTTTATATGCCTTACTTTGACTAAACATGAAGTTAAGATTGTACATAAGATTTTTGAATCTTGTAATATTAAAAAGTGTGTAACATATTAAAAACAATATATGAAATATTTGTGATTTTAAATATGACATGTCATTTTTATAACGAAATATTTGGAACTAAAACTTACTATATGTAGAAATGTGATATTTTTTTTAATGAACAGACTAAAACACATAAATTGAAATGGTGAGAGAGTAGTATATTCATTCCTAAAAAGATAAATTAAAGAAAAAAGAATGTCCTCCACCACCCACACACCCAAGAAAAGAAAGTGAGGAACAAGAAACTCGCAAATTAAAGGGGTTGGGAGTTGGGCGTTTGAAAACAAGAAGAATGTGCCGCTATGGAAAAGAAGAAAGTTGCATGGCATGTAGGACAGAGAAAGCTTTATGCACAAGAAGCTGGAATTCTTCACTTGCTCTTTTGATAACTTGTAGCTCTATCTTTTCTTGCAACACTAAGCATGTATGGCCAGAAAATGAAAAAAAAAAACAAGAACGAGTTTTTCTTTAAACGTACAATATGTATTTTCTATCTTTCTAGAGATAAAAATTACTATATGACTAGTTACGCGTACCCAATGTAAATTTTCACTTGTTGAATAGAATATACACGTAGGTTCAATTGTTGACCCAATAATAATTGTTACTACGTACTCCTTCCGATCCAAAATAAATGATCTTTTGGCTTTTTCTTGTGGTCCAAAATAAGTGATTTTTCCAGATTTCAAGAATTAATTAATTATTTTTTTCCTACATTGTCCTTGAAGTAAATGGTGTTGGAATATGTGTTAGGAGTGTTTATGTGAGATAGTAAAAGTTAATATGGTCAATTCCATTGCTAATTAATGCTAAAAGGTGGATTTCTTAACTTGTGTGAAAACATCCAAAAAATCACTTATTTTGGACCGGAGGTAGTATATATTATTGTGTGTATAGCTCATGAATGTTGAAGTTGACTTGTCCAAAGATAGTGGTAAAGCTCTGATCTCTTTTTTCCCCCTCTTTTCAAGAGGATAAGGGGAAAGGGAGATCTTGTCTCAAACAATTCCCCTCCTTCAATTTTTATAGCAATTGTTCACAAAGAATGCGTTTAATTACCCTTTAAATGGTGAAAAGCGTTGGATAAAGAAAAAATTTATGCACGAGAATTGGTCTACTACGCCACAGTCAAACTGAGTAAACCTAAAATGGTTCAGATAATTTCTTCTTATATTCCCTTTTCAGGCCCTTTTTAGGGTTGTGGGTTTGAGTAGATAAAATGTGTATAGAAAAAAAGTGTTAAACAGGAGAATTTGAAAGGCATACTATATATAAACGTCTAGCGTTCCTTGTACACCAAAAAAAAAATTGGTGGAAATATTCTAATATTCTCTAACAAAGTTACAAGGAACTTCAACTAATTCAAGTGACAGCGTAAGATATCCAGAAACTTTGAGGTCTTAAAATTTATGTAGTCCATAGGTGGCGTTATTTGGTTTATTTAGGTTTTGAAATTTTAATTTCAAGAATTTTTTGGGGAATTTGTGATCTTTCCTTTTCTTCATATCATCTCAAACGAAGATAACTACGGTTTCACTAAGGCATCACAAATTTTATTTAGCGAAGGTTGCTTCCATTTTAATGGTTTATAACCATTTTAGTGCAGTTAATTAAAGCTTCAGTAATCCCAAAACTTTCGTAGTAGTTATCCAGGGAACATCATCGTCAATGCAAATTGATGGAAAAAAATACTAACATTTTAGCCATATTATTTACGGAAAATATATTTGGCCAAACCAAGAATGGCCCAAACGTCCCAAATGGGGTATAATGGTAACTTCGCACGGCTTTTGAGGGCATAATAGATATTTGCGCATTTTCGTTTTTCATGTATACCCTTTGGCAGATTTTTCGTTTTAAATTAATTTTTTTCAACAATTCTCTCTCACTAATTTAATTGTCTTACCTTCCCAAGATGCATGCTTCATCAATTTCTATAAAGCACATATACATATACTATACTAATTAAACGAAATACACTAAAATTTACATATACTATACCAATTAATCGAAATACACTAAAATATACAGATAATATATTAGAGGAAATACGTTTAAAAATTAGAAAAGATACGTATAAAAATTAAACTACTAAAGTGGTCACTTTCTTACCCTAAACACTTAATATTTGGCCGAACCTAAAAAGCTTTTCCAGCCCCCTTTTTTCTATCTTTGTTTTCTCCTTCTTCATCTCTTATCTTTCTTAGGGTTAGATTAAGGAATGGACCACAGGAAGAGGAATAATGCTTCAAAAGTTTATGTAGTGTTTCGTGGTAAGAGGCCTGGATTGTACAACTCTTGGCATCGGTGTGCTCCTATGGTTATTGGTGTCAAGGGCAGCATCTTCAAGGCCTTCAAAACGTATGATGAAGCCATAACAGCTTTTAATGAGTTTAGAAATGGATCTCAAGCTGATAATATATCGGCATCGAAGGTGTATGTGGTATTCGTGGTAAAAAGCCAGGATTATACAACTCTTGGTGTGAGTGTGCTTCCTTGGTTATAGGTTTCAAAGGAAGCATCTTCAAGTCTTACAAATCTTATGATGAAGCAGTAGCAGCATTCAATGAATTCCAAAAAGAAAATGTTTACAGTGAAGAACAATCTTCAAGTTCGTGTGTTGATGAAAGTGCTATGTCATCTGTGTTGTTAGCTGGAATGTTTGTAGGGATGAAAATTTCAAAAAATTGTTCAGTTTGATTATTGTTTATTTTGGTTATTATCAGTTTGATTGTTTAGTTTGATGTGTTACTAGTTGCCGCATTCAATCTCTGTAGAATAGATGCCAAAGCCTTTGTCTTTTGTACTCCATGTTGGAATGAAATAAGAATATAATTTTTTTTTAAAAATATTTTGAAATGAACTGAATGTTTTAATTTGTCTATATTGCTGGAACCTTGTAAGTGCCAAAGTGTTATCATTTTGAACTTGTTTTAATCCCTACTACATTGATTCATAAGCACT